TTTATTTTGCCTTCCTCTGGTAATTGTGGGCATAATGTTCTGTTTAGGCCCTCCTCCCTCCTGAGGCTTCATCCGATGACTCTGAAGGAGAGACATTAGAGGTGGAGGATACAGTAGAATCCAAACCGGCCTAAGCACTTAGCCTGTAAAAGATGTTACCACTTGAGGACACGGACCATCTGTTGCGGAACAAATCCCTGACCCTCCTAACTCAGTGTCTGTTCAGGCCAGAGTATGCCTGGTGCATCAGTCCTTGAAAGACTTAGTTCTTGGAGAATGGAAGGATCCTGAGAGGACGTTTGTGGCATGCAGGTCCTTGGAAAAGAAGATTCTCTTTTGGGAAGGAAGATGAGGACAGATTTGTTTTTTTTTTTGGTCTCAAGTTGGATGCTGGTCTCTCAGGTTTCTAAAACATCTGATTCGTCTTTTGAAGATTCAGGAAATCTTGGAGACAGAGCTTTACTAAGACAGAAGCTTTACCACGCAGGGCCTGGGATGCCAATACATAATCTTCTATGGCTCCAGCCTTAGCTGCTACTTGCGTGGCAAGAATATGGACTTATGACTAGAAAGGGTATCTCAGCACATGTCACAGGGGGCTCCCTCAGAACAAATGGCTGAGTCCCTTTCAGTAATGGGGAAAAGCTGTTTCCTACCTTGCTGATGCAGCTGTCTGTGCTGGCCTCTGCCTTTATCAATTCAGCTATAAGAACTTGTCTGATTTTAAAAGCCTGGGGCGGTGATATTTATCTAAATCAAAACTGTGGTCTACTCTGAGAGGGGGCTTGCTCTTTGGTTCTGGTTTAGACAGTCTTGGCCAGATCTTCAGAAAAGTACAATTCCTGAAGTTTTTTTTTTTTTTGCTGATTCAAAGGACCATGACGGGGAAAAAAATCATGAGCATAGAAAAAGGTGGCCTTTCAGACCTAAACAGAGGAGGTCTCCTCTTTACTGCTCCTGACTCTCCCCCCTACTTTGTTTGGCGTCATTTGGACTCAGGGGAGAACTGTTGCTCTTTTATCAGGAATGGTTAATGTCAATAAATTTTGACTTTGGATTTTGGTTTATTGGTGTGTTTTTGTGTGGGGTAATTTTTTTTCTGACCCCGAGATCCAGGTATCAGGTGAAGGCAGGAGCCCTGATGGATTATATTTCAAATCTAGTCTCAGTTATTCAGGTTCCAAAGGAAAAACTTTTTCGGGGGTTTTATTCCCATGTCGTCTTAATCTCAAAGCCAGGCAAAAGATTCAGAATTTTGAATTTGAAAAAGTTGAACCGATTTTTTTTTTTTTTTTTTTTTTTTTTTTAGAATGCAAAGTATTCTATTCAAAGGTTTTTACAGGCGGATGTGTTCATGGTTACTATGGATTTGAATTACTCATACCTTCATGTACCTATTTACCCAGAACATCAGAAGTTTCTGAGATTTGCAGTTGAAACAAAAAAAAGGAAGTGTTTTATTATCAGTTCAGTGCCCTCCCTTTTGGTCTAGCAGCAGCCCCCATGATTTTTACAAATATTTTGGCAGAGATTGTAGCATATCTTCGCTTACAGAAGATATCTCTTATCCCTTTTATCTAGGCTATCTTTTATTCGCTTAATCAAGAACAGAAATTTTGCAAAAGGTCAGGAACTCTGTGGACAGGCTTGGGTGGATTCTAAATGTAGAAAAGACCTCTTTGATTCCAGATCAGTGGTCTCAAAGTACCGGCCCGCAAGCCATTACTATGTGGCCTGCAGCCAGCTCACAAGTCTGTTACGTGGTCAAGGACCGCGTACCAGACCTGCGGGAGCAGCCACACGGTCTGCATCTCCATCAGATGCAGACCCCATAGATGCTTCTGTGGCGGCTCGGATCCTTTCAGCCGGCGCCTTCACTGAACGCTGGCCGAAAGGATTGATTGGTAAGGTCTGCAGCAGACCTTACCAATCCACCACTAGATCACCAGGGATCGATGATCGTGGCTCACAGCCTCCTCCCTGCAACAAGGAGGTAAGTGGGAGAGGAGGCTGTGTATTTGTTTCCTTTTTTTTGTTCCTGTCCCCCTAGGGTAGGAGGTTAAATGTTTTTCTCTAAGGAATCTTGCTGATACAGCCGCAGGGAAGTTCAGCCTCTCTTCCCTGCGGAGTCCTCGAGTCTCGGCCCCGTGCAAGGGTTTCCCCTTGAGGATGCGGTGGACGGCTCCCGATGCCTGGAAGAGGCCTGCGGTGACCCTGGGGGTAGCGGCTGTGGTATGGGGTCAAGGGCTTCAGCTTCACGGCCCCTCCGCCGATCAGGTAAGCTCTAGCGATAGTTGCCTACATGGGCTGGTCTACTGTGTGTCTGTCCCCTCTGCAGCTGCTCCAGCGAGGTAAGGGCAAGACAGTATGGGCAGTGGCGGCTTCGCAATCCTTCTGCATGTGTGCGATTCGGACGGGGCCGTTTTTTGGCGCCAAATTCAAGTTTAAAAAAAAAATATTTTTGAAATTTTTTTTGCTCTGCTGGGTTTTCTGATCATGGCTGGATAGCAACATGGAGGACTGTACCTCACTTCGCAGGGCCAAATCTATAGAGCCTAGGTGAGGTGGCCTGGTAGAGAGGAGTAAAAGTGTGTTTTTTGTTTTTTTTTGCAAGAGGCTAATGCAACCCTTTTCTGTTTTGAATTCAGCCCTGTGGAGTTAGAATCCTCTGCATCCTCGGGGACATTGATGCCAAAGCTATGGCAGGAATGAAGCTCTTCAAAGGTTGTTTGTATGAGGCTGCAGGGACTTCAAACGCTTTACGGACATCCTGGAGCTCCTCAAACAGGCGGTGGCCAAAGGGGTGAAACAGGCCGGTCATTCCCGGAAGAGGCAGAGAACTGCCAGTTCTCGTTATGATTCCTCCATAGATACGGAGGAAGAGGCCTCTTTCTGAAGGAAAATACTCCTGTTCATCGATGCATTTGGCTGGGCAGAAACGCAGCAGACCATCCTAGTGAGCAAGAGCACAAAAAAGCTCATTAAGGAATTTTTCCTTAATGAGCTTTTTTGTGGATAAATCCACAAAACGAATGGGGTCTAAAGGAAGGTATTCCCGTCTCCACCCAATCAGTAGCACAGATTCAGGTGCATGGGACTCGGCCCCTAAAATTGACGCAGCTGTTGTCAGGTTGGAAAAATGCACAGCCTTGCCGGTTGATAACGCAGGGTCTCTCAAAGATTCCATGGATCGCAAAATGGAGCATAATCTGAAAACCTACGCGGCTTTGGAGATGGGCCTTCACCTGGCTGTGGCCCTATCTTCAGTTTCACGTACATTCAACCTTTGGATTGATGAGTTGGAGGACAATTTGAGGAGAGGCGTGGGCAGGCACAGACTCCTGGACAGGATTCGAGACTTCAAACTGGCATCTGACTTTTCTACGGAGGCTTCAGACTATCTAATTCAGTCATTAGCCAGAGGTATGGTGTCCGCAGTGGTGGCTCGCAGGGCTCTGTGGCTTGGGTGCTGATGCTTCCTCGAACTACAGTCTCTGTTCCCTAGCTTTTCAGGGGGATATGCTGTATTGGTTTAGAGCTGGGTGCTTACATCAAAAAAGGCCACGCTTCAAGAGGAGAAACGGGAGGGACTATAGAGATCGGAGTCCTCGCCAAGGCAACAGTGGTTTTCATGAATCCAAATCCTACAAGCCAGGAAAGGAGTCTTCTCGCTCACGACCATGGAGAGGCGGATCTAGCCCTTCCAGATATGGGAGGGGCAAGAATGCCGGTCCTAGCGAGTCAGAAAACCCCTTTTATGAAGGTGTCGATCCTGGAGACATAGGAGTAGGTGCAAGGCTGCAGCTTGGAGTTTCGTTCCGGTCCCCCGAAAGGCAGATTCATTGCTATAGGGCTGCAACAACTAATCGATTATTGAAAAAGTTGTCAACTTTTTCAATAATCGATAACACTTTTTTTTACTTTCACCGCTCCAAGCTTGCTCCTGTGATGGACTACAATCTCAATACAAACTAGTAGTCCATCACTGGAGCCATTTAAAAAAAAATGTATTTTATTGTTTATCCGATTTAACCGAACGTAATAATCGGCTAACCGATTTTGAAAATAATCGTTAGCTGCAGCTCTACATTGCTACCAAACTTCCGATGGATCGAATAAAGGGGCATGTTATTTGGAATTGCTTCTTTCCACAAATGCCATTGTGGTGGTTCCCAAGGAACAGCAGTTCCGAGGCTTCTATTCCTGCTTGCTCTTGACTCCCAAATTGAAAGGCGGCTGGAGGCCAGTCCTGGACTTGCACCAGTTGATCCGCTTCATCACTATCAAATTCAAAATGGAATCCCTTTGCACGATAAGGGTGGTGCATCCACGCATGTATTCTCCATCTAGTTTCCTGTTCCACTATTGCTAGGTGGATTAGACCTACTATTGTATTTGTGTATAAGAAGGGAGGATTAGAAGTCCCTAAATCCATTAAAGCACATTCTACCCGATCTTTGGCTACTTCATGGGCAGAGAGCGGGCACTTCAGTGGAGCAGGTCTGCAGGCGTGTGGTCAAGTCGGGACACCTTTTTGAAACACTAGAGTGGAGGTCCTGTCGCAGCAAGATCTAGCCTTTGGCGGGAAGGTTCTGCAAACTATTGTCCCGTCCTAGGGTAGGCCAGTTTTACTTATTCTCTCAGGGTCCTGTCCAGGAAGATGACTGGGGAAAATCCCAGTTAGACTTAGCGGTAACAGTGTTTCTTAGAATCTTCCAGGACCAGAGGCCTACTTCCCACCCTTGGTTATGGTGTACAATATTTGTTTTTTCAGTCGTGCACTGGCGGCGGCACTTTTAATTTCTACTGACAGACAGCGGGGGTGGGTGTGTTTCTTGTAGATGGGGGAGCCAATCTTCTCCCAGAGTGCTGTCCTGGAAGATTCTTAGAAACAATGAGCTCAGTGTCGAATTCATAGTTTAACATTAACATAATTTAACAATTAATGTGTGGTGGTTGTAGCTCAGCACACAACGTTGCATTGTTTTTTGTTTCTGCAGCCCTCTCCCTCATGGTATAAGGCCTGATGCATGTGAAGTTTGCCTTTTCACCAGAGATGAGCCAAATATGACAAGTGAACAGACAGAAACTTTCTACAAAAAAATGCTTGCACAGCATGGCATCACACAGATAACCAAGGTAAACATCTAAACTTTTATGTTGGTGTATTTAATATGTATTTCCACTTTTTTTAGCCAAATTGGGTTAACGCCTACTTAAAGTGACATTAAACCCTCAGATTTTAACATAAACCAATACTGTAATGTGTGCCTTACTGTAATCCATTGTTTCCCTTCTCTTTGTTGCTCTTTTTTAAATCCTGATGTCTTCTCATGCTTGGGGAGAACTTCCCTTTTCAGCTCAGGGCCTCTTCCTGTAGTGCTGGCTCAGTTTACAAGCTAATCGAAACGTATACACAGACACCGTGTATCCATTCCTGAGACAAGGCAGTCTGCTGCAAAACAAGTTCTGCAGAGCATGAGAACAGATATAGATTTAAAAGGAAGATCAGCAAAGAGAAGGGAAACAACCATGGATTACAGTAAGGTACACATTACAGTATTTTATGTTAAAAAATCTGAGGGTTTAATGTCACTTTAACAATTCTTGCATATTCCTATTCACATTGCATAACTTAAAAAAAAAACTGCTGCTTAATCCTCTGTTAACCAGTTGACATCCGCGGTGTTAAACCCCCTTCCCATCCAGGCCATTTTTCAGTATTCAGTGCTGCGGTACTTTGACTGACATTTATTCCGTCATGCAGCGCTGTACTGAAATGAATTTTATACCCTTTTTTGGGGACAGATAGAGCTTTCTTTTGGTGGTATATATTCACCACTGGGGTTTTTATTTTTTTACTATATTAAGGAAAAATCACCGAAATTTTTTTTTAAAAAAGTTTCCCCTATATTAAATGATAAAACATTTATTACCCAATTTTTTGGTAAAATATAAAAGACGGGGTCACGTCGGGTAAAAAGACACCAAACATGTCAAGCCTTAAAATTGCGTGCGCG